GCTCCTCACACAAGGGAAGCGATCTCCGTGGCCAGGGGATCCTTCCTTGGCGTGTCGTCCCTGGGCCGAAGGAGCTCGGCTCCACAGGAGTCACGGGGGGTACGAGGGGCAATAGGACTGCTTAGTGGGGGGCCCGCTAGAGCCTCGCGTCGCATAACGAGCCCCGAAATCGTCACTTGAGTGGCCCGTATTACCGCGTAAGTTTGTGTTTTGGTTGTATCGCACGTGTACAGGAATCCGGAAGGGAGCGAGACGGCCCGGAGAAATATCGTCACCTGTAAGTGAGCTCTCTCTTCTGTTCTCACACGGCAATCTAGATCTCGTTTGCCCGATTATGTCGCGATCGGAGAATTAATATCGTATCTCGCTAGCGCGCGCGGGAGAACCACGGCGGTTCCTCGGGAATAGTAATATCGTAATTCCGGGCAGCTTTCCTCCAGGACGCAGAAGTTACGCGACTGCCGCTCAAGTCATTGTATCGTATTATGTTATCGGCGGTATCGTAGTACCGTCCGACCGCGCCTCTGTAAATTTCGTATTAAACATCTCGAGCGGTCGGGGACCGTGTAATAGCGAAGAATCGAGTCTCGGACCGGAATCCGGTGATACCGAAGGCGCGGGCCGCGACGATAGTCGACCGCTGAATTGTTTTCCTTTCCGTCGCTAAACCACCAACATCTGTTGTAACGCGGTCTCGTCCGAGGCCGGCGAAAGAAAACTGAAATAAATTGTTATTTGCCTGTTAACTCCTTCTGAACGTTTCTTTTTCGTGTCTGTGTCGTCCGACGGGAATCCTTGTCGCGAGGGAAGTCTGTCGTTACGATATTTGCGAACCCTGGAAACCCTCGTCGTGTGAACATTCGGTGGAGGGTGCTTTCTCCTCGGTCGTTCGGTAGAGTTCAACCCCTCGGTAGGGGCAGGTTTCGGTCCGATACTCGGGGAGTATCGGTCGGTACGGGAAAACGTACCTGGCGCCCGGAAAAACGGTCGGTGGGATTCGCGGGGACGCGAACGGCGGCGGAGACCGGGGGGAACGCACTTTGTTCGTGCTGTGTTTCGGCCGCGCGACCGGCCGAAATCGTCAGTAACGTAACAAATTTGCGCCCGAACAGGGACTCCTCGAAGGGAGGATACCTTTTCTTCAGGGCCTTTCTTTTAAAAAGGAGGCAAATATCGGACGATAGACGGACGATTAACGGGTTAGACAACAGGTGGTAACGTGAATAGCGGACGAACGACTATCGTCGCCACGCGAAACGAGATCTAGCGGTTGCATGCGGTTGGTACTTGGTAGTGCTAGAATAAGTTTTTTTTTTGTGTGTTATTTAATAATTTATTGGCTAATTCCGACTTTCGTGGGAGTGATCGTGGTCTTTTATTCTTGTGTGTGTGGTGGCGGATCGCCAGCGAGGCGACCGTACCGTTCGGTTGTGTGTTATTTCGTTTCAGGCATATCGGGCTTGCCTCGCGTTTTATTTAAAGTAGTTATATCCGCGAAAATAATCGAATAATTCCCGTGGAGGTACGTCCGAAAGATCGTTAGCGTAAGCGAGAGGTTCTGGTTAGCCCCGGGTTTGAATTTTAACGGGCCGCGAACAATAGATACCGTTGTTCGGGATATTTCGAACGTCGAGAGGTCGTAAAAGAAACGTAAACACGCTGAGGGTCGTGCGTCGTGGTGTTGTTGTCGCGTAGCAAGGCCGAGCGACTAACTGTTTTGAGAGATTCGACACGGGCTCCGCAAAGGCGTAGGTATCCCAAAATTTGGTTGACCCGTCACGGCGTAGGAAGGGAACGACCATCTGCATTCGAGCCGCGCGCGGGAGGGTGAAAGAAACTAATCGAGTAGCGTACGGGCTGAACGTCACTCAGGATGGAGGAGACTACCGAGTCCCCGCGGTCGAAAAGTCCGGCGTCTCCGCGACCGGGTTCCGAACCCATAGGCGTCAACCATGCAACCGAGGGTAGCCCGCAATTTCCGCACTCGCCGAACCCGGAGGTCGAACGGACCACTCCGCCCGAGCGAAGGGCCAGCCGTTTCGTCCAATCCCTGGAAATTCCGGTGCGCCCCGTAGAACGAACCGTTTTTATGGGGGACCATAGATTCGAGTCACCGCGAGGGGGGCTCGCCGTCTACGAGGCTATGAGAAGGTGGCGAATAACGTTTTCCGGTGCCGCGCAGAATGACCCTGAAATCTTCCTGACGCGTATCGCGGAACGCCGCCGTTTTACGCAACTTGATGACCGTAGCCTCCTGAACGGCCTGATCGCGTGTTTGACCGGACTAGCGGGATATTGGTACGAGGCGAATCGTCATCTATGGGAGACGTGGGAGGATTTCGTCGAGGCGTGGCGCGGTCAGTATGGGGACCCGCGATTTCAAGAGACCCTCGAGGACAATATTCGCGACCGCGTGCAAGGGGAGTACGAGCCGGTGCGCGATTACATCACGTGCATGCAGGTGATGTTACGGCAGTTGATCCCTCCGTGGCCCGAGGCGAGACGCCTCGATCGAATTTTTTATAACATGTTGCCGCGTCTAAGGGTAGTAATATCGCTCAGCCACATTCGCACGGTGGAGGAGTTGACGCGAAGGGCGCGCGAGGTAGAGACCGCGCTCGCGAGTACCGCCCGCCCCTCTCCGAAGCCGCATCAGCTGCTCAACCACGAGCTGGCGTACGTCGCGTCGCGGTACGAGCACGCCCGAGGAGGATACCGAGAGAAGCCGAGAGCGCGAGAACGTCGAGAGTACGCGTACGCGGTGGGAGAAGCGGAGAGCGAGGATGAGGAAGAGAGACCGGGCGATGCTGAGTACCGCCGGGGAAAGCCGAGCGTGCCTCGCCGTGAGGAAGCACGTCACGCGTACCGCCCGAGGGATCGTGACGCGGGGTACGTGGTAGCGGGAGGCCGACAGCCGGAACAGCTGGCGCGCGGAAAGAAGGGAAAGCGCGACGCAGCGTCACGGAACCGAGAGAGAGGTGAGACGTCTGTCAACCAGCAGGCCTCTCCCTCGCTCTGCTGGAACTGTGACAAGCCAGGGCATCGGGCAAGGGACTGTCGAGCCGCGTTTCGCGAGCACTGTTACCAATGCGGACGAAAAGGCGTAGCTACCCGCGACTGTACGTGTTCACGGCCGGGAAACGGGAGGAAGGGCCGTTAAGCCGGGCGGATGGACCACCCTTCTCCTCATCGTCGCCCCGCACATTACTACCTGTAATATCGAAAATAACGGAAGGCTCTCCGTCGTTGCTCGTTGTAAACGCGCGGATAAAAGAATATCGTGTTCGCGCTCTCGTGGACTCGGGGGCTTCGGTGACGTTTATCAGCCGCGCTACGGTATCGAGAGTGGGGGTGCGGCGTAGTGTAACGCGTGCCGAGGGGCCGCGATATTTCGTGTTGGCCAACGGAGCGATCGACAAAGCCGAAGAAGAAGTTGAATTTACCCTCCGTATTGAGAACCGGGAAAGGGAAATTATCGCGCGAGTGTTGGAGAATTTATCGACTCCACTGCTATTGGGGGTGGACAATATCGCAAAATTTGGGATAGTGGCCGAATACCACCGGGCGATCTGGTACTTTGCGTCGGAGCCGTGTGTCGAATTTCCGTTTGTTGAGGATGCGGACGAATTGCGGTGCTGTGGGCTACAGGTGTTAACGGATAGCGAGAGGACCCGCCTGCGGAAATTTTTAGAGGGAACCCTTCGTGATTTTGAGAAAATGGAGGGGGTAACGGAATTGATCGAACATAAAATCGATGTGGGAGGGCACGCGCCCATTAAACAACGGTACTATTCGGTCTCACCGGTCGTGCAGGAAGCGATCTACGCGGAGGTAGATCGGTTATTGGATGAGGACATCATTGAACCATCGAGTAGCGAGTGGTCGAGCCCTATCGTAATGGTGAAGAAAGCCAACGGGAAATATCGTTTCTGTCTGGATTTTCGGAAAGTCAACTCGGTTTCCAAGAAAGACGCGTACCCGTTACCGATCATGTCGGGAATTTTGGATAAGTTGCGAGCAGCGCGTTATCTGTCGACCATCGACCTGAGTCAAGCATATTTTCAAATTCCGTTGGAACAATAAAGTAGGGAAATTACCGCGTTTACCGTCCCCGGAAAAGGGTTGTTTCACTTTAAAAGAATGCCGTACGGGTTGACAGGGGCACCAGCGACCTTTCAGCGATTATTAGACCGGCTGGTTGGCCCGGCAATGGAGCCCTACGCGTTCGCGTATTTGGACGATATCATTATCGTCACCGCGACTTTCGAGGAACATCTTACGTGGCTAGAACGGGTACTAGAAAAAATTAAAAGGGCTGGGTTAGTGGTGAACCCCGAGAAATGTGAATTTTGTCGGGATGAGGTACGGTACCTCGGGTTTGTCGTCGGTCGCGAGGGATTGAAGGTCGACGCGGAGAAAATCGCCCCGGTGGTGGAGTATCCCGCCCCGAGGAATGTTAAACAACTCCGGCGATTTCTCGGCATGGCTTCATGGTACCGCCGGTTTTTAGCGAACTTCTCGACCGTCGCCGAACCATTAACGCGATTGTTACGAAAAACACAGTCCTGGACGTGGGAGGCCGACCAGCAACTCGCCTTCGAAACGTTACGGACCATGATCGCGACAGCACCCACCCTAATGTGCCCCGATTTTTCATTACCGTTCACGCTGCAAACAGACGCGAGTACCGTAGGGTTAGGGGCGGTATTGACTCAGGAGGTGGAGGGGACAGAACGAGTAGTAGCGTTTGCGAGCCGCACGTTGACCGGTCCCGAGCAAAAGTACTCGACTACCGAACTCGAATGTCTAGCCATCGTATGGTCCACGAAAAAGTTTCGGCCATACTTAGAAGGGTACCGCTTTACCGTAATAACGGACCATAGTAGTTTACAATGGTTGCGGAATTTGCGTAACCCGTCCGGTAGATTAGCGCGATGGGCCCTCGAGCTCATGGAGTACGACTTTAACGTAAAGTATCGCCCTGGAGCCTTACATCATGTGCCGGACGCGTTGTTGCGAATGCACGAGGACGCAGTAGAGATCGAAGAAGTACCGATAGTATCGACCGTCGAACCCCTGACCTGGTATAAGCGGAAGGTGGCGGAGGTCCTCGAGCACCCGGAGCGGAACTCCGATTGGCGGTACGATAACGAGCGACTATACCATCGAAGGGACGACCCGGTAGTCGTAGAATTTCTGGGGAGCGATGCTGAAGAGTGGAAGTTAGTTGTATCCGACGAGGAGAGGGAGGGAGTCTTGCGAGAGTGTCACGACGATCCGCAGGCAGGGCACCTGGGAATTAAGAAAACGTACGAACGCGTCGCGACTCGGTATTTTTGGCCAGGGCTATTTCGCCGGGTGGCGAATTATGTGCGGAGGTGTGGAGTTTGTCAGCGGACGAAAGTCGAACAAACTCCACCCAAGGGGCTGATGGGGAAGCGTCACGTCGAAGCGCCGTGGACGGTCATCGCAGCCGATATTATGGGACCCCTGCCTCCGAGTCGCGCGGGATATTCTTACCTCCTCGTGGTGCAAGACCTCTTCAGCAAATGGATCGAATGACTTACGAAAAGCCACCGGAAAGGCGATCGCGGACGCGCTCGAAGATCTAGTGTTCTCGCGATGGGGAACGCCCGAGGTGCTCCTGACCGATAACGGCACCGAGTTCGTCAACGGAGCAATCCGTAGTCTCGCCCAAGAGTATGGTATTTATCATACGACCACGCCGCCCTACCACCCTCAGTCGAATCCGGTAGAGCGTGTGAACCGGGTACTAAAGACCATGATTGTGGCATACCTCGACAGAGACCACCGCATGTGGGACCAGAACCTACCGCAATTTCGATTCGCGTATAATACCGCGTATCATCGCGTCGGGGAATTGCGCTTGTTGAGGGCCTGGGTAGCCGAAAACCTATCGCAGGCGTACGACGAGCGGGCTCGCCGATACAACCTCAGACGGCGAGCGAGCGTGTTTCGAGTCGGAGACTTAGTGTTGCGCCGACAAGGCGTGTTGTCTTCGGCCACCCAAAACGTAGCGGCCAAACTAGTGCCTCGCTTCCACGGCCCGTTCCGTATTGCGCAACGTTTATCCGACGTGGTATACGAGCTCGAGACCCTCGACCGGAAGAAAGTGGGAAAGAGCCATATCTGCGATCTTAAAGCGTATGTTACTCCCGAAGACTAATCCATAATTCCTGTTTCTCTTCTGTTGCCCCTACCCTTCACCCCTAAACCCGTGTCTTTTGGGTAACGATTGTGTGGCTTCCCACCCCCATGCCAACTAACAGCAGGAGTATCGTATCGCCATCAGAGCAGGGAACCCAGCGCATCCGGCGGGAGGAGCTGCCAAAGGAGGCACCGCCCCCCCACCCCAAGAAGCCACCGCCGACGAAGGGTCCCCGAAGGAGACGGGGGTATGAGGATTGCTGGCGTTGCGGGGGCGATGGCCACCGTTATACCGAATGTACGGCGCCGCGGGAGAGCGCGATCTCGAAGTTCTGTTTTCGGTGTGGGCAAAGCGGTGTCGACGTGCGAGACTGTCGCCGCTGCGGCCACACCTGGAAACCAGGACGGAGGTAGCGCCTCCCCGAAGAAGCGGAGAGGTAGCGTAGGAGGCCATCGGGGAGCGCTGTGGGGGACAGAAGAATGTAGAGGGGGGATAGCGGGGCAGGACCCCAAATAAAACCCAGAGAAGGAGACACGGGCGGTACACGATTCCACTCATTTCCACCTCTCCCTCCATCCTTCCAGAGTAACACTTTCGCAGCAGCAGACGGTCGCAGGGGCTCGCCCACGAGGAAGGACGACGAAGGAACTCCACCGCAGGACCATGGGTCGATCGTATACTCCGTCGTCGGTACCGTCGAGTCGTCGTTTGTTTTTTTTTCAGTCGGAGGGTTGTTTTTTTTGGGTAAGGTGGTGGTAATACTTTTGTTTTTTTTTGTGTGTCCGCCTTGTATGAATGAATAGCACCAGCAGGGAGCCAAGTACCAGCAGGGGTAAACAACTATGGTGGAGGGAAATGTACTCGGGATTATTGTAAGGGGGAAATCTGCCAGGAGAAGCGAGATCGTGGAAAAGATTGCCGCTGAGACAGGTGAGGGTGCTCACGAGGCTGTCCGGTTCTTCTTAAGGGGAGGGAGTTGTTACGACGCATTTTGCGCCGTGCCCCTTCCCGCCCGAAGTTTGACTCGGGCGCGGAAGAACCGAGAACCGGACCGCCCCTCCGCCGCTCCCTGCCTACACGAAATAATATCGAAGCGCTCCTGGAGGATTTGTAGGGGAATAATACCGTTAGAATTTGTATTAACCATGTGGTTATCTCGCGCCGAGTACCGCTCGCGATTACAGGGCCGTCACGATAGGGGTCAAGGCAGGGCAAAAGACGCAATATCGCCCGTACCCACCGACTCTGCTACAGGGACCGCCCCGGAATCCCGTCGAGCGGCCGCTCGACCGGATAAGGGTCCTATCCCAGGGGGATAGGACAGGAGGAAAAAGGGCCTGCTCTCGCATCGAGCCTGAGCTTCGAGAGGCGCTTGGTCGGCCGAGGGGGCAACAGGAAACCACCCACCGGATAAGGATCGGCGACCCGGACGTCTTTCTCCGCAGAAGGACCCCACGATGGAGGAGTCAAAGGGCAGGGAACCCGTGAGGAGTCGCAGCAACCACGTAGGAGAGTGTCAGACTCTGCTCCTCACACAAGGGAAGCGATCTCCGTGGCCAGGGGATCCTTCCTTGGCGTGTCGTCCCTGGGCCGAAGGAGCTCGGCTCCACAGGAGTCACGGGGGGTACGAGGGGCAATAGGACTGCTTAGTGGGGGGCCCGCTAG